CATGGGCGCCGACGACGGGGTTCGCCGACCTCGGCAACGGCTCAGCAACCACCGACGAGACGCTCACTTGCAGACGCCAACAAAAAACGAGGACGAGATACGAGGGTTTAGGAGAACAGATGTGAGCATTACTGGCAAGAACCATGACCGTCGTCCTCCCGACACCGTCCCCTCCCCGGCGAGGGTAGGGGGGAGTGCTTGAACGCCACTCACAAACCCCATGCACAAACTTCCCTCCGATTATGGAAAATTGTTTGCATTTTTGACGTCGGGACATTAAACCTGTAGTTCTCATGATCACCTCTTCGTATTTATTCCTCGAGACGCGAATTATCCAAAGAAATTATTGTTTTACTGTACATATACATATGAGTGTAAGCGAAGATGCTGACCACAGGTGTTGAGATGGAGGGAGAAGGTAAGACGATCCCTGGGAAGGAAGATTTAATGGGGTGACATTTCGCACTCTTACTCGGGCACATCATTGGAGATAGACAGATTTAGCAATACGTGGTTTGAATAGACCATTCGTGCTTACACCCGATAGGTCCATTCCAATCTTTTCTTTTTGCCTCTGCTCTCGTGCGCAAGTGGTGCCTGATGGCCTCGTACGGCGTCGGTAGGTCAATTCTGCGGTAGATCGAGTTGGCGTCTGATCTCCAGACTTCGACTACTTCTTTCGCCAAGTTGCGTCCAGCTCGGCCGAGCACTTGGGCACCGTCAAAGTCGACCCTGTAATGATTTTCAAGACTATGAGTGGCGACGTGCGATGGTACATTCTTTCGATTTACGGCTAAAGCGTGCTCATGCATGCGCGTTTTTAGTCGTTTATCGGTCACTTTGCAGTAATTGGCCAGAGAGTCTAAACACTTGACACTGTAAATGACACTTCGCCTTGATAGAAGCGAACAGGCGAGTCCCAAGTAGCAGTTCAGAAGACGAAGATGCGATCACTGGAACAAGAAATTCATTGGCTTGTCGTTTCGGATTCTCACTCGAACCCATCATCAGAGACAGTCGCAGATAAGGGTATTCTTTTCGAATAGGAGAAATCATATAATCCTGTTTGTCTTTAAAAAATACCGTGTAGAATTTACAAATGTTTTGCAGGGGAAGCGGACTATGTTGAATACTTCACGAGACGCATTAATAAGCGGACAGATAAAATGCTTTATGGATGGGCATTGCATAGTCTTAAAAAATCCCATAATTATAAACTTCTATTAAAATTAAGAGGGACTCTTTTCGAGTAAAAAAGTTAATAAGACCTAATTTTCTACCAAACGCATAAAAGAAAGCAGGGTTATGGGCATGTTTTTCGTCGAATATATTGAGTTATATAAGATCTTCGAAAATTAATGTGAAAAATGCATACTAATTAAGCAGTTATTTTTTAGTGATTGCCATTTTAAAACAAAGTCGCATAGAAGTGCATTCAAAAGCCAACATTCTGACGAGTTCGAAACATCATGGATTATGTCGCATGGTAACTTATATCACAACCCCTGTCTAAGTAAGCCTTTTTAATCGACAACGCATTTTGTAATTTCAGCTTAATTTTCATGTGATCGGTTACTCACTGGACACTTAAACAGGAACCAAAGACAAAAGGAATTACCAAGTGGTCGCTTTCAGCTACCAAAATTTTCTAATCTAGGTTAAAAATCGGCACTAAGAACTAATTAAGATATGGTGGGACGCGGGAATATGCATCCTGCAGTACGGCGTTAGAATTAGAGTTACGGTGAGGATTAAAGTTATAAATCCCCTGGAAGTATGAAAGGTGGCTCTGATTCCCTTATTCAGACCCAGGTTTTAACGGCTTTTGGTACTCGCCGAAATATTTCGGGATTTTCACATTTAAAAGCCCTTAAGTTACAGGTGAGTGTTTCATTTGGCGTCTACTTGCTTCCAAAATAAGTCAGCCCCTCAGTGCAGGATACTGATTTTGATGAAAATCGAAATCCAGCTCCAAAGATAAGTTCTTATACAACAAGCTCTACATAAATGTGTGCGCAGTACTATCAATGGTTACATGATAAAAAGCACAAAATTGTCTTGCTTTACTTCTATTGTCATCCCAAGGCGCACAAAGGAGATGTTCCTGTCTAGCTTATCGAATTCCTTAAACCTCTCCAAGTTACTGACTGGAAAAGTGGCTGTTTCGTCGTCCCATATCCCTCTCTGTTAATTCAGACATTAAAATCAGTTCGTCAGCGCATCTTTTTGGAAATAAAAACTTAAACCGACTGGTCTCCTGCCAAATGAAGCCATATTACCTCATGAAATGCCAACCGAAATTCAGAAGTATGTTTTCGATCCGAAAAGACTACTTAAGTAGGCTTGTGATACTAACTAACGTGCGGCATCATCCTAAAATATTTCATGCACGTCAGAATGCAGGCTCATGAATGGGCTACGTTTCGGCCGTCTACGAGGAATACATTCTACATAAATGACTAAATAAGTACTACGAGTTTGCCCATTGATTTTTAATGTTCTTGTAAATCCAAATATATTGTACAGAAAACGTGCATAAACATACTCTTCCTTGTACTTGTTTGGTAGCAAATAACACCTTTTTCTGATTTCATATTTGAAGAAAGAGCAATTTTTGGTTTTAAAAAGTTTCTATTTAAGATTTTTACTAAGACCGTGAAATACTCATTTGTACAGTAGCACATCGACACGTTTACCAATGCGACGTATAAGGTATTCAATCTCGTTTACCTACATAGCATAATTTTATGAGTCCTATAGGACGTTTGCCTATAAACGCGGAGAAATAAACAGTGCCTGACCGATCTCATGAAATGTTGGCCGAAATTTAGAAATGCGTTTTCAGTTAGCAAAGATTACTAAGGTGGGGTCGTAAGACTGATTGGCATGCAGCGTGATCCTATAGCATGTCAGAGTCATCAGAATGTCGGCCTTTGAAAGCACTCCGTTTTGACCCCCTGCAGAATTCACACTGGGTAAAAATTAATACTTACGTAGCATACATTTTTCAGATTGATTTTCGATGGTCTCATAAAACGAAATAAATTTTATGGCAAAAATGCACAAAATATGCTTTCTCTGGTAGAACCTCACATTGTCTTCATATTTCGCATCCAAAGAAATTGTATATTTAGGTTTCAAATCGTTTCCCGAAATCCGGATAACTTTAAGCCTGGTCAGCCATTGCTTTAGCGTTTAGCGACTTCAGTCTACAAGGTGCACGCTTTCCGCATAAGGAAAATCATGTATTCCTCTATGACTTCAAAAAGGTGTCATTTGGAGTTCATAATTCCTTTCAATGGATGCGGACTACGGTGTAAATTTCATCAGGAGCATTGGCAAACGGACATGCGTGGTCCTGTATGCATGGACATCGCACGGTCTTAAAAACCTCATCAGTAGAAACGTTTTAAAACCTAAATAAACACTTTTTTCGGATGCGAAATATGAACACAATGTGATTTTTTACCAAATAAGTAATAGAAAGCATATTTTGTGCATTTTATAATAAAATATATTTGAATTTATAAAACCATTGAAAATCAATAGGAAAAATTCACGCTACATACGAAGCCACCTCTAATTGAGTGCGATTTCAACAGGAGGTCAAAAAGTAACGCATCAAAAGTCGACATCCTGGTGAGTCCAAAATGCAATAGGATTACGCTGCATGCCAATCAGTCTTACGACCCCACCTTAGTAATCCTTACTAGCAGAAAACGCATTTCTGAATTTCGGCCAACATTTCATGAGATCGGTCAGACAATCTATGATATTCCTCTCTTGGGAAGTATACAACATGCAAAATGGAAACCCTGAATGTAAGTGCAAACGTTAATAGGACAAACATTTATCCAGGAATTAAAAGCGTTTTAAAAAACCGAAAGATACTTTTCCTTCGAACAAGAAATATGAAAAAGACGCTATCTTCTACCGAGTAAGCACAGGGAAAAAATTTTTATTCTCTTTTTGTAAAATGGCAAAAAACTCTTTTTAGTTAATTAGTCTTTTTTACAGAGCGTAGTTTTTGAAGACGACCGAAAAAAAGCTGAATGAAAAGCCGTTTTTCTGAAATAACTGAAAGATAATTATTAGTACAAAGAAAATTCAGCAATCTTGCCAGGTCGAAAACGCATTTCAGAATTCCAGCCAATAGTGCATGCGATAGGGCATCCACTTAACTTTCTTGTGTCAGGATAGCCTTTGCTTCCATCCTTAAAGGTCTGTCAGTCAAGACAGCTGAAGTACTCCTAAAATGCCTACGTAATGTAAAAAAATCAGCTTAGAAACGAGAAGACTACTTTGGACGAGGGTGGCCTGGCAAACTGCAGGAGTGAGGAGGAAAGACGTCATCGCATAATTCGCCACTCATTGGATGAAAGTCGTCCAGCCCTTCTAGTTCAACTAGGGGGAAGTCATCAGGAGAGATGCAGAATAAGTAACTCTTCGCTAAATGTTTTTTCACAGTTCACCAACAGAAAACCCACTCAGAGGGAATGGGCGATTTGACGGCACTTTCAGTGACACAATTTCTGCACCAAATTGTTGATTAATTTTCACAAAAATCATCCATGAGCGCTGATGAGATCTTGATCATTTAAATCTCAAATTGCGTGACCAAGCGCGACTACAGGCTACGAATTAGGCAGCTGCCATTTTTGTGGCTGCGCCACGACTGCGCCAGACGACTATTGCGCGCTGAGAAATGTAGAGTTGATCCGAAATGTCAGGCAAATAATCCTAATTTTTTGCAGGGTGATGTGTTTTTTAGATTGCCGAGAAACACTAGCTCCACAGAAAGGCACAGTTGATACTTTATTGTGACAGGTTTCAGACCAATTTTCAGAACCAGGACATTTCGCAAGCTGGTGGGCCATGTGCAGTTTCTTTCTGACCACGCCATTCTTGCGCGTCTGTGAACCTTATTTTCCATGTAACTGAAAATACGAGGGACAAATAGAATGAAGGGCTACCGATCTTGGTTCTTTTATAAGTACTTATCAGCATTTAGACAGACGCCAGTGGCTGGTACACTCAGTCAAGTGAATTCTGCCATCATCATCATCATCATCATCATCATCATCATCATCATCATCATCATCATCATCATCATCATCATCATCATCATCATCATCATCATCATCATCATCATCATCATCATCATCATCATCATCATCATAATCATCATCATCACGCGGATTGTTAGAATATCGGTTTTTTGATCTCAGTAAACATGTTATGAGGAATAATACTTAATTACTTAAAGGAATCCGAAAACTGGAGTTTTATCCAAAACACTGATGAAACCAGAGATAGTAGCACTCTGTTTCGCCTCAAAGCCCGATCAGTGCTCAGGTGCATACATGTAACTGGTAAAACAGTGCGCCCCTGTGAGCTAGAGGATACTCCCATATCTTAGCTTATCCCTAGGCTTAAGACCCTTTATCAGGCAAAGTTTTTCGAATAGTTTTCAGGGGTCGTGGGCTACAGATAAGGCATAGTGCAAATATTGGAGGTTGACATTTACAAAATGCATTCCTGCGCTACAAGTAAACAGAACGTAAAATTATTGCCTACTTAAACTTTACCTGTCTGACGGTTGTCTGCTATACAGCATGTGCCAGCAAGCGGGAGCCCGCAGACCCGACAGTCGGATTTACGCCGCCTTGTGTCAGTGCATTGGTTCTAGAATAACCCTGTTTTCAGCTGCAAACCAATTTTTGGATATTCGAAATACACCGATATGGCAAATCAACACAGCAAGGGCACTTTGTGTCAGAACGAACGCCTTTCGGCCGCGTGAATAACAATATCGCGCAGTCTTAATGGATAAGCACGCTAATATGCACCCCCCTCGTCATGACGACTGGCCCTGCCCCCGACTCCAGAAGAAGGTAGGGTTAGGGGTCGGGCTAGTCTCAGTGTTGTGCTTTTGTTGCTTAAAGGTATGTAAGTGTCCACTACACTTGATCAGCAAACGGTGGCCCTTGCAACCTGTTATGCGCTGGCAGTTATTTGAAACCTGGTACCCTGCCGGTAGGTGTGTTTGCGCTACCACTGGATAAAGAGGTCGTGAGAATGACCGTCCAGCCATCTTCCTCCTCCTCCTTCTGATCCGTCGTAGTGTTATTATTGTTGAATAAAATCCTGGCCAGACTTATTTTGTGGACCCGGGGTGTGGTTGTACGCTTAGATGCGGGTCCGGCCGTGCATCGCCGCCTCCAATCTTCCTGACTACTTCTTGACACCGAACTCATGTGGGGGAGTAGAAGGGAAAGAGTGCGGTAGATGCTGCGCAAGTCTACCATCAATTCAAACTTATTCACGTGCAAACCACTGCACCTGCTCTGACCTTGCGATGAAACATAGTGTGGACACAGTCGAATTTTATGTTCGAGCTGCCCTGTCGTATAGTGCTAATGTTACGGGCAGGGTGATAACTGTGTTCATGAATGCTGCTGTTACGATAAGGGGTTGGGGGGTTTGGTCTAGAGTAAATTTAAAGGCTACAGTTACAGTGCGTGACCGATCTCATGAAAGTTTGGCCGAAATTCTGAAATGTGATTTCGATTAGGAAGGATTACTTAGGTGGGGTTGTAATATTGCTTATCTTACGGAATAATCCTATAGCATTTCGGACTCACCAGGATTTCAGATTTTTGATGCACTCCTTCCTGATCCTCTGCAAAAAATGACTACTTAAGCTGCATGCATTTTTCGTATTGATTTTAGATGGTCTTATAAAATCAGATAAATTTTATAGAAAACGTGCACAAAATGTGTCTTCTTTTACTTGTTCGGCAGAAAATCATACTGCCTTCATATAGCATACCCGAAGAAAATGTATATTTAGGTTCTAAAAAGTTTCTATTACAAGATTTTCAAAACCTCGCGATGTACATGTATACAACATCGTACATGTCCGTCTACCAAGGGTTTTTCATGAAATGTACAACACAGTTCGGATTCATTGCAAAATGTTATGAAATTTATGTTATTGTCAATAGAAGCGAAGAGACGAGTCCCAGGAAGCTGTCTTGAAGAAGAAGAAGCAGAAGACACTTTCGCCGGGACATGAGCTTTATTAGTTTGACGTTTCGGATTCCTGCTCGAATCCATCGTCAGAGACAAAAACAGATAAGGGTGGTTCATGCATATGCAGCTGCAGTATTTATAGGATGCAGCAGCCATGCTACCGCATACCTATGAATATTCACGGCTCTACTCTTCATGCGGGGTCGTCGCACTTGATGTGCTAAGTGTTTGATAGCCGACATTCGCGTCGTTAATTTCTGCAATTTTATCATGTGTGTTGGATGTTGGCGCAATGATTGCTCGATCATCTGACGCGCTGACCCGGGTGCTGGGAAAAGTGTTCACCTGTGCGCTCCCGCGTGGTTACTTACTCCGTCTAAGCGCAGTCTCAGCACGGAGAATGGAATGGAAAGATCATTGCACTTGTTAATGGATTGGGGGCCAATAAACCATGACTCAAGCAGCTCCCAGCTCACGCGGTTGTCACCTCTTGCGAGAATTTCGGCCTCGTCAAACTTGAATGTGTGGCCGGAACCAGTCGAATGAGCCGCAACTTGAGAGCCAGCGTCCTTTTTCCGCACCGCTGCAGCGTGTTCGGTTATTCGCGTTTGAAGTCGCCTTCCGGTTTCTCCGACGTAGTTGTTTTGTCAGCAACTGCACCCGATTCGATAAACGACTCCAGACGTTTCTTGCTGTGGCAGTGGGTCTTTCGGTTTCACTAACTGACGCCTGATAGTTGCCTCCGGTCTGTATGCAACTCCAACTCCAAGTGGTGCGAGAAGGCGGCCAACAGCTCCCGAAACGTTCTTAACATATGGAAGCGCTCGCCAAACTTTGGTGTCCGTGCGGCAAGGTCTTTCGTCCCTATTGCTTATGCACCGGTTGATGAAGTTGCGCGGGTAGCCACGTACTTATGAATTACTTGAGCCTGGTTGTCATCTGGTGGAAATCCTGCTTAAGCAGTCAGCTTACTGTGTCAGATTTGGTGGAATCCGGACGTTGCTGTAAGTTTGACAGGTAAACTTGACCCAAATGTGATCAAACTCGCGTCGTCCGATGATGCTTCGTAGCTCAGATGGTTAGAGCGTGGGCTGTACTGAAGCCTCCGCTTGCCGTCATGAGTTCGAATCCCATCGAGGCACCGAGTTTTTCACACCTGGGTCAACGTGAGGTACTCTAATAGATGTGCTTCATCATGAAGTGTTAATCGGCACTGTGAAACATATTTTTGATTTAAATGGACTAATTTAGTAGCACTGCAATATTGATAAATATGCAGCATTGCCTTAGGATGTTTCAGTCAGGTCAGGAGGCAATCTAAACTTTGTATGAAGTGATTCCTGATTAGAATGAATTTTTCCATTAATTTTCAGTGTCATTATAAATTAACTTGAGAATGAGAGCAGAAATATTCTTTTTCGCTCTCACTTGGTGGCAGATTGTGTCTTCTCAAAATTGTATAATCAAAGAAATAATGCCTTTCAGTTTTAAAGTTTTTAGTTATAAGATTTTTTCAGACCTTGAAATGTCCACATTTACAGCATCGCATAATCGCAATTATCAATGCTAATGATACAGCATGCAACTTGGTCCAGGGTCGTCGCATAATTTGATGAGTACTTTAAGACGTATCCTTAAAGCCGTGCAGGTTTTTTGAAACTCATTTTAGAGAATGTATGCTGCAATTACATGACAAACTATGAATATAAGTGTAACGGCAAGTGGGCCAAGAAAATGTTGGGCGATTAAAAAGTCTTTACAAACCGAAAGCTGCCGTCTCTTTAGGTGGGTTGGGGAAAAGGAGGAAGTGCGTTAAATACTGAGAAAGTAAACTTTCACTATAAACTTATTCACGCGCAAGTCACCGTGCCTGCTTAATCGTTCCGCGGTGGAATTCGTGGGACACGACGGCTGAAATGTCGTGTGCATGTAGGTAGACTGAGTGACCGATCTGATGAAATGTTGACCGAAATTCTGAAATGCGTTTTCGATTTGAAAGGATTACTTAGGTGGGGTTGTAATACTGATTATAATGCAACATTATTCAGTAATATTTCAGACTTGCCAAGATGTCAGCTTTTGAATGCACTTCTTTTCCACCTCCTGCAAAACCCACATTCGGTATAAATGGCTACTTAATTAACATTGATTTTTCGCAATGATTTTAGATGGCCTGATAAATTCAAATATATTTTATAGAAAACATGTACACAGATATGCTTTCTTCCACTCATGTAGTGGCAAATCACGTCGATTTTACATTTTTTGCTTGAAGACAGGATATATTTAGGTTTAAACAAGGTTTTCCAATTGCCGAATAATTTTAAGCCAGATCAGCCATTGCATTAGCGTTTAGCGATTTCATTCTACAAGGACGCAAGCTTTCCGTGTAAGGAAAATAATTTATTCCTCTACGCCTTTAAGAAGATATCATTTCGAGTTCATGAAATACTGCAATGAATGCGGAATGTTATACATTTCATGAAGAACAGTGGTAAACACACAGGTACGATGTTGCACGAATGTCCATTGCACGGTCTTAAAAATCGTATAATTAAAAACTACCTTAAAACCTAAATATACCCCGTCTTCAAGCATAAAGTGTAAACTCGACGTGCTTTGTCGACGAATGAGTGAAAGACAGCATATTTGTGCGCATATTTTCTATTAAATATATTTGAATTTATTTGACCATCGAAAATTCTTGCGAAAATCATTTTATGTGTGCCAGTCTCAACATAGTCGGGCGCTACAAAACGCCCGCAGTTAGCATGGTCAATAGGTGAGATCAAACCAACTTTCTTAACGCGTGTAATAGACAATTCGATTGAACAGTACTGCCCTTTTCGGGCCACGATGGCTTTGAGGACGCAAAATGCTCCTGAGCAAATTAATTTCAAGACAGTTGTTGTTTGAGCTTCCCGGGAAAAAGAAATTGGCAAGGAAAAATATGTGATCGTGCAAATCCAACTTAAATAAATGTAGAAGGGAGGCCGGTCATATATTTTAACCTTACCCAGAAATTTAGCTTGAAGGACAGCGACTATGTCAGGGAACCTTGCAAGTTGCTTTTCCTGTGCTATTCAGCGTTTTCTTTCGACGCCTTGATCGGTCGTACAAGTAATTTAGCTTCGTGCAATTTCGTCATTTTAATGGAGAAGTTTTGAGGTTGTTCCGTCTGATGTGCGAAAGATTGATAATTTCCTACCAGATACAGTTGATGTGCAAACTCTTTCGATGGTTATGAAAATTCCGAAATGCATTTCCGACTCGAAAAGATTATTAATCAGGGTTGTAATATCAGCCACAGTGTAGTATCATCCCATAATAATCTAGTTACTTTAGGATTCCGGCTTTTAATCGAATTTCTTTTGAGTCGCTTGTAAAATAGTACATTGTAAAAAACGACTAGCTAATTTGCGTAAATTTTTTCATTGATTTTTGATGCCTCTATAGACTCGAATATATTCCATAGAGAGCATGCGAAAAAATTCTCCTCCCTTTACCCATTTGGTAGAACGTCTCATTTTCTTCAAATCTTACACATGAAGAAGTGGTATAATTCGGTTTTGCATGTGCCGGAAAAAAGTTTGTTCGAAAGCCAGCATCTCGAGGTAACTGAATTATTATAATATTATGTTGCACGATGAATAGTTTTAAAACTCCACTTAATTATTCTTTTCGAAACAAGAGCGCATTTTAGAATCTTGGTTAACAGTCTATGAGTTAGCACAACTACTGTTTTTCTGGCTAACATTAGTAAACGCTATCCAGACCGAAATTTGTCCCACAGACGCACGACCTAGGAAGTCGGAACGACGTAATTGCATGCAAAGACATCTGTAAAAAGATATTATTAGGGGTCTTAGGATACTTATACGATTGTAACGATACCCAGGATAACGACGAGGTAAGGCTTTAATGTAGTTCTTACGCAGAACCCATGAACATCATCAAACATTCCAGCGTTGCTATTTAAAACCGCATACATCTGCCCATTGTCCTTTAAAGGCACTAGCGACGGTCCAGAACAGGGTCGGTGTTATTCCATCATTATAAACTAAATTAAGACACTTCAATCGTGCCGTAGCGGCAGACCAGGCTAAAATGCTTGACCTAATTTCCCCTAACGGAACTGACCGAGATAGAGATACGTGCAAATGTCACATCTTTATTAAATCACCAACCTAACGGGGGGCTTTTGTGTCCACCAACGAAGTTGGAAAATTTCTCAAAGCGATTTTTGTGGGATTGCGCGGGCGCGGCTTACAATACCCTCAGTTCTCTCGGATTAAGCAACGGACGTTTGAGAGCTGCGCTTGTGTGATGAGAAAATGCACTGTGTCAAGTTGTTTCCTGAAAGTAATTCATTTCCCATTCCGCTACATGAATGAGCAAATGAGATTGATTGAGATAGTACATTTGCAGACGGGGTATTGCTCAGAAGATTACTTCAGCATTCATTTAGCCTTTCTTATTTCAAAACCCCTAACTAAAAGAATTGCTGATTTTTGGTTAACAATGACAACATCCAGCAATGATTCTCAAGTTTCACATATATTATTTAAAAATTAAAATTATTAAAATTAAAATTAAAATTATTTAAAATTAAAATTATTAAAATTATTTAAAATTATTTAGAAATTTAAAAATTGACATGAGAACTGGTGGAACCAGTTCGCATGTCAAATCCTCTTCGTATTTCACTGGACGAGGATGATTAATTAAATAAGGTTCCCAAAAGGGGCGGGACGCAAATGAGTTTGTGTGACTCTTGACCGAGACACTATGACAGTTAAGATGAAGCCTCTTGTTTCAAAGCTACCCAGAAAAGGGTCTAGTGAATCGCTGTTTAAGTTTGGTTGTTTTAAGTAAAGTTTGTTTGGTTAAATTAAGATGACCTTCTTAAGGCGTTCCCATAACTTGGCATTGACGGAAACAGCGCGCTGGGTGGCGGTGATTACATTTAGACGAATGGAGTTGCAGTGGGAGAGACTTACGAAGCCCCGAACTCACCACATCCATCATGTTTCGCACACAAGCCAAAAAGAGCAAAGCCCTGTCTTCCGTAAGTCACCGACACGTCGGCCATTCAACCTATACAAAAAGGACTTCCTCCAGTCAGTTATCATGTAATTGAGCTGTTGGAATCGTACTCACCGCCATGAGAGATGGATCATTTTGTTCCACCTGGTAAATACTCCGGCGAATATCTTCCAGGCATCTTTTCCTGTTTCGTAAA